TCGGGCATAATTTTTTTTAACATTAATGTTTAATTTTTTATATTTTTTGTTAAGTAAATATCATTACTTGATTTATTTTTATTTTTTTTGAAATTTATTTTATTTTATTTTATTTTTAATTTTTTACATGTTGGGCATTTTTTTTTAAAACATTAATGTTTAATGTTTTTGTATTTTTTTTATTTTATTATTTTATATTTATTTTATATAAAAATAATTTAACAATCCCTACACTAACAACTATCATCAAAACAAACACAATTTACTTAATTCTCTCACTAACAATCCCCTCACTATTAATCCTCTCACTATTAATCCTCTCCATTCTACCTTTAAAAATAAATAAGACCTTCATTCTACCCTGAAAACAAATAAGGCATTAAAAGTACATACAAATTCTTTTGTGCACCACAGGTTTGTAAGCTTCCATTCTTCTAATGTGTGGTGCAAAAAGAACCCAAAACAAAATTGTAATAAAAATGCCTATTTATTTGAGTTTTGACAAATCACAACCACAATGCTTCCTAGAAAATGACTAGTGGGAAGTCTTCTTCCAAGTGCAAGAACGGCATCCAAGTGCAAGAACGGGCTTATAGTGAAAAGCGGGCAATACTATGGCCCTATTTGATAATGTTTATTTTTAATTTATTTCAGTTTTTAATTTAATTTAAATTATTTTGATATGTTTAATTTAACTTAACAATACAGTTTATAACTTTTTATAAGTCAAAAATCAACTTATTCTTTGAGTAAGAGAAGGGAAACTTAATTTATAAGTCAAAAATCAACTTTTGTTCACAACTATAAACTATAAACTATTAGGGTATGAGTTATAATCACTTTCCCACAGTTCTACAAACGGAACTTATATATACTCCGAATTTTCACTTAGAATTAAATACAAAAATATCAATGTATGATCCAAAGTCTATATACCATAATACATTACATTATTGAATCTCATCCATACATCTTCATTCAGGGCAATATTCTTGATAATTTTTCTGGGTACTTTAACATTAACAGTGAAAAATGGAAAAGAATTGTGCATGATATATATATATATATAACATATTCCTCAAACAATAAATCATCATACAATAGAAGTCTACTCTCTAAGAAGCTAGAAAATGCAAGAGTAGAGACATCCTTCCACATATAAAGATAGTTATCACATAAAGAAATAGCAGACTTGCAATCTAAATGATTCTCCATATCCATAAATAAATCCCACTAGTAAAATATGGTGGAATTGACCATAAAACCTTGCATTTGTGTGCACCGACTAAACACTGCTTGGCCTGACCCACTTCATTCTTTGCCATCAGCAGCACGAAGAGAGCCCAACTGGACTGGAGCTTGCGTTCCCACAATTTTTGACGACCCATAAGTTGACAGATTGATGCCTTTAGCCTTCTCTTTCTCAATTTGCTCCTTGATCCAAAAGTATGTGATTCTCAGCCCGTCCTGTAAACGTAAAACATCAGATATAAATATATTTGGATAAGATGGATGAATCGGCTATTTACTAATAGAAAGAGATTGACATAAACAGAAAAATCAAATTATTCTCCATCAGATACCTTCAATCTCATAGTAGGGGCCCAACCAAGCTTCTCCTTAATCAGAGTGTTGTCTGAGTTTCGACCGCGCACGCCCTCTGGGCCGGGAATGTGATGGATAGGCAGCTTCTTGTTCTCGAAGCTCAGAACAATCTCAGCCATCTCATTCATGCTAACCATTTCATCGCTTCCAATATTCACTGGTTCTCTGAAGTCTGATTTTGTCAATCTGAACACAGCTCATGTCAAGACACAGAATCAACAAGGACAAAGGGCCCAACGTCAAAAGAAAAAGTTGACCTATTGCCATTTTTACATCCAAATCACATCCTTTTTGACCAAAATAAAAAGGAGTCATATATGAACATAATTTCCATGAAAAATCCACATACAGAATGATGTAACCTTCTATGGTCATTTCATCTCAAACTAAAACACTCATCATTGTGGCTTATAATTTCAAGAATGCTTTGTATGAAAATTCTGTTTGCAGATCATTTCCCAAGTAAAAGTACGTGTCCCAATAAATAAAAGTACATGACCCAATGCATTGAGGGGGGGCAGCATTTTGCTTCATAAAGAAACATGAGGTGTTGAAGTTCTTATACCTATGTATAACTTATAATGTTCCAAAATAGATTTCTTCTTGTTTGGGATGATCAAAATAAGTGCACTTTTTGACTTTTTACAAAAAAATATGTAGAAAATTAAAGAGGTGATGTGACCTAAAAAAAGATAAAAAGTGTACTTTTTTAGTACACCCCAAACCAATACACCTAAATTATGCATCTCTAGTGATAAAATCACAAGAAAAATTCAAAATACACGCTTTATCCAACGGCAGTGATGAAAATTTAAAATTATTATTTTTCCATTAACAAATGGAATTTGTTATGTTCACAATAGCAAAAATAGTTGCCCACAGTTAAAAAGACTACATAACATCAATGTCAGCCAACATTCAACTACTATAGAATTTTACGTCCAATAAAAATAACATCTTGATTGAACTTCAACAAAGAAATGTTTATCCAAGATAAGAATTTTACCTAAGGACACCTTCGACACATTCATCAATGAACGTGAAAGATCGAGTTTGTAGCCCATCTCCCCACATCTCAAATTTATCAGTTGAGGTAAGGGCCTTTCTACAGAATGCAGCAGGGGCTTTCTCCCTCCCACCTGTGGGCATCAAATGAGAAGCAATTTTAATTTATAGAAAGGTCAAATAAAAATAATGCAAAGAAGTTCCTATTTTAGCTTACCTTTCCATGTGCCAAATGGTCCATAGATGTTATGAAACCGTCCAACCCGACACTCAATGCCAAAGTCCTTGGTGTAGTGCTTGCATAATTCCTCAGTTGCAAGCTTCTCTAAGCCATAAGCATCTTGAGGCTAAAATACAAGTAAATGAGAATCTTATCAATGTCATTAAAAATACAGGATTGATGTATGTAATGCAGCTAGGGATTATTGAAAAACCTCAGCAGGCCAAGCATCAGACTCCTTCAAGCTCACATTAGTGTCCAGCTGCTTAAATTCAGGGTAAATACAAGCGCTGGAAGCATAAAATAACCTGCATTCCATGACAAATATTTCATTATTGTCCATCTGCATATAGATAAATCCCACACATGTAACTAGAAGCAATTAAAAGGAAAAAGCAGACCCTGTAGGATTTTCCATCAAAGACACTACAGCTAGAGCCCAGAGCATTTTTTATGCCTTTGGGAATGTTTCAAGTGGAAGTATGCAATGAACAAGGTTTTAAATTCAGCCAATAATGTAATCGGAATTTTGGACTTATGATAATGATATATCGGCCAATACTTCCAATATATGACCGCAACGCTACTAATGCCACACAACAAATTACTGTTATTTAAAACAATGGCAATATGTCCCTTTTAATGACTTGGGAACAACCAAAAGAACTTAATTCTATAACGATAATTTGACAGAAGGAATTGAAAAAGGTGTTAACAGAGGGAAAAGTAGAAAATACAATGCCGAAGACAACTTTTTTGTGAAGTGTTTATGTTTGAGTCTTTTCAATTGTATATATTGGCATCAATGAAGTCCTTCCACTTTACACCCAGGATAAACAGTAGCCATTTTTGTGAGATGACAAATTCACAAACCGGGTGTTTGAAGTCCGTGGAACCACAACCTATAATTGCATTTATCCTCCCACTTCATCTACAGAGACTATTCCCATTCTAATGAACCAATCACCAAAATAAAAGTAACTTTTTCTAAAAAGAAACAACAATTTTTCTAGAAAAATAAAAAAGTTCTCGTGTCACACGTGGTAAGGAAATAATCACCTCTGATTTTTTTGACTTGACAAAGTGAACATAATTTAAATTGGTGTACATAACAAGCCAATAACATACAAAAATAATCAAGAAAATGTGATAAGCGCAAGCAAAAAAAATAGATTCAGCAAATTGAAGACAGCAAACCTCTTAACTCCATTGACCCTTGCTGCTTCAAGCATGTTGAAGCTGATCATTGTGTTGTTATACATAATGACTGAGTGATTGGACTGAATGAAGCCCATGCCTCCCATGTCAGCAGCAAGGTTGAAGACATGATCAACACCAGTAGTGACTTTCAAACAGTTATCCATCACCCTGAGATCAACAAGATGGAACTCATGACAAAACATGTCCTCAGTCATGTGTTCATTTTTTTTCCAGTCAGAAGCAATGATGAAATGCCCCTCGCTCTTCAATCGCCTGGCAATGTGCGAGGCAATGAATCCACCTGCTCCAGTTATGGAAATGCGGAGCTTCTCCGAAGGCCAGTAGGGTTCCCTCTCGAGGTTCTCATAGGTGTATGCTCCGTAGTTAGTTTCACCTGCACTTCCCATTCTGCACACCTCATTCATGAAGAAGAATGGGAGGGTGTTATGTAAACAATCATGAAGGTTAATTGGCCCCGTCCATTTTCTACCCCTCTGATATATTTAAAGGATAAAAGGAAAGGAAACCACAGTGCAAAACCACCAAAGGCAAAAATGAGAAAGCCTAACGCTGTGTTTGGTTGGGGATTTGGAGAGGGATTTGGAAATGGAAAGAGAAAAGGGTGTGTGAAACTAGGTATATTTTATTCTCATTTTACCTATCTTTTCTCTTTTCCGTTCTAAATCCTTCGCAAAACCCCCAACCAAACACAGTGTAACTCAATAAAAGAAATTTCAAGAATATAAGCTTTCCAGAGTTCATCAAAGCAAATGAATGGTATAGAAGTAAAACCAAAAGCAGAGAATCAATACATGAAAATCCTCAAAGCTATAAAAGCTGGGAAAATATTGTTATATAATTGTGCCCAACTACATGAAATTCAAATTGGTGGATGGTGAAATTAGAGACCCAAAACACAAAATCAGAAATCCACATCATGAAACTACAAAGAAAATGACTTAATTTAGATCATCAAAGCTATGTAGAGCAAAAAGGTTTGCAGCTGAAATATTAAAAAATAAAGCCACTCATAGTAAAACATCAGAGGAAACAACTCAAATTACAGGAAATCGCTAAGAAATGAGTTAGGAAATGAATGAAAATTAATGTTGCGTTTGGTTGGGTATTTGGAGAGGAATTTGGAAAGGAAAAGAAAAAAAAGGGTGTGAAACTATATTTCACCTCTCTTTTCCATTAACCTTTTCAAATCCCTCCTCAAATCTCCAAACAAACACAAATCTCCAACCAAACACAGCATAAGTAAAGAGGCCATATATATATATATATATACACATGCATACAGCTACAAAACGTCACAAAAACAACAGTAACAATATAGAGAGAACCCAATAGAGATAATAATAATAAAGATTTACAACAGCACATTACAACATCACCTTATGGAGGATGCCTGCCTTTAACATGAAAGTCAAGTGGCCAATCAAAAAAAAAAAAAAAAAAAAAATCAAAGCAAAATAAATAAATAAATTCAGAGAGCCCAGATATTCAATCACCTGGAATAGGACGATTTCGAAATCGAAAGTATATGTCTCTCCCTAGAGACAACTTCGACAGATCTTTGCTCGATCGAAACCTTCAAGTACGCGAGTCCTATAAATAGAGAGCTACTGAGACTGATTGTTGGTATGTATCCCCTTTTTTTTTGTTCTTTTTTTTTTTTCATTCTTTTTTATTTGCTCTTTTTCCAATTTTCTGTGGACAGAAAAGTGAAGGGCCGTGGCACTGTGGTAAACCTTTGATATTAGTCACTTATTTTATTTTTTATTATTTTAAAATGTCAATTTTTTTAAAAAAATTAATGATTAAAATAATATAAATTTTTTATTTTGTTTTTTTTAAATTCATTAATAATATAAAAAATATAATTATAACAATTGATATTTTTAAAAGTTATAATATCAAAGGGTAATTTTGAAAAATTAATATTTATAAAATGTAATAATTGTACTACCAAAAAAAGTTAGGGTGTGTTTGGTTTGTATTTGTAGAGTAATTTTTGAGATAAAAAGTACGAAAACTTGTTTGGTTTGCCTTTTTTTCAGAAATAATTTTGAAAAATTGTTTTGGAGAGAGAGTTTTAAAAAAAGTGATTGATTTGATGTGTATGAGAGGGAGTGTGATTTTGAAAAGTAAGTAATCAAACAAAATTTTGAGATTTTTTTTAGAAAAATTTTTTTGGTTTGATTACTCTTGAAAATTTGTTTATAGAAAATTTTTTTCAAAATTTTTTCTGAAAAACAAACCAAACAAGGCCTTAAACTTTTCAAAAGAGACTATTTTTTTAGGATGAAAGGAGTAGTAAATTTGAGGTCTCAGGTTTTATTCTTTTGATAATTGGGCCACAATACATAGGGATGATAATTTGAACTTGACCTGACGGGGACCCGACCTCCCGACCCCAATTAGAATGGTTTTTCGTCAAAAAATACTCTCGACGAGTCGGGAATGGTATTCGAAAATGAATCCCCGACAATTTTCAAGCCAGGATGGTGATAGGTTCCCCGGCCCCATTTCCGCCCCGAACTGAAATTACTATTGTACCCTTCTATATATATGTGTGTGTGTTTCTCTAGAGATTTTTTGACTCATTATGTTGCATGGATTATTTTTAAGGAATGGGCCCATGGAATATCTTTGAGAGATGCCTGTTGATTTTAGAAATTAATTTAGTTAATAATATTGGTTGTGCATGCTACTTTGCAAAATTCACAAGTAGTTTTTTTTTTTTTTTTAAGTTTTTTTTTTTTTGGTTTGTTTGTTGTGGTGTGGATGTTGTTTTGTATTTTGTTTATCATGTTTTTTTTTTTTTCAATTCAAAAGAAATAAAGACAGAGAGTTAAGGCATGAAGCCTAGATTACACAGATGATGTTCCTAATATGTCTGCAACAGCAAACTTGCAACCTCAGTAGGAGGGTCATTCAAAAAAACAAATGAGTCTGGATGATTAGCCCCTAAATTAGCCAAGCCATCAGCAGCTTTGTTTCCTTCTCTGAGAAAGTGTTGGATGGTGCATTTGCACCTCTGCATCAGGAACTTTACATCCTCAAGGAGGGCTCTGTGTTGAAAAGTTGGACTAGAATCTTCTTGGAGAAGTTTAACTGCTTGCACAGAATCAGTTTCAATAATAATATCTCTTATTCCTTTTTCTAGTATGATAGTAAGGCCCCTATACACTCCCTAAAGCTCTGCTTCCAAGCTAGTTGTTTCTTCCAGTCGCCTATGATAGCCATGTATCCAAGCTTCTCTCTCATCCCTGAAAAGGCCTCCATATCCAGCTAGACCAGGGTTGCCCTTTGAGCATCCATCACTGTTGAGTTTGATTGTACTTGCAAAAGGCAAAACCCATTTAGAATTACAGTGTAGGAATTGGCTAGTAAGATGATCAAATTAGAATTCTTCATAAGTTTCAGGTAACTTGTGGCTTCATATACATTGCAATCTTCATTCCTAAAGACAAAGTTGTTTCTATCTTTCCAGATTTTCCATATAGTGAATAAAAATACAATGCCCCAAGGAATTTGGTATTTTTTTTTCTTCTTGCATTTTAGGTTGACTTGGAGCCATTGATTCCAGGATTGATGTTCACTGATCTGAAGCTATCTATGGCTTCTGATAGCTAGCCATACAGCCTTGGCTTTAGGGCAATCTTTAAAGAGGTGGCATAAGTCTTTTTGAGCTGAATTACATTTGGGACAAGTTGTTGGAAATTGGTATTTGTAAGGCTTATTTTGGGCTAATTTTGAGTCCAAAATTGAGTGAGCCCCAAACATCTTTTGGGTTGGGTCTAAAGAGGTGATGTGTTTCTTGCCGCATGTCAAGTCACACGGTGAAGGCGGTTCGTCAAAACCATTTATGAGTGAATGGGAACTTGAGGTCGTTTTCGGGTTCGTGAATTAAATGTGGGTTTCTTTAAATTGGGTTGTCCCACATTAAAATTTTAAGAGAGTTTTTGTGTGTATGTAAGCTCTTAGTGTACTAACTTAGGTTGGGCCCCAATGGTCACCCCAAGTTTGTAGAAGGGAAGAGTTATGGACAAAGTGAACCTTAGCCTAAACCACTTCATGGGCGCTGTTGTCCGATTGTGTCGGGTGCGAGTCTGGGTTGGGTTGGTTCTTATATTAATTTTTTGGGCAAAATTCATTTGAATTTTTTCAAAATTACTTGCGGGAAAATTTAATTAAATTCAAATTTTGAATTTAATTTTTGTCCTAATTTCTTTCCTCATTCGGCTCATGTCCAACAGGTTCAAAAAGACCATAACAGATTTGGTGCAGTTTCTGAATAGATATATAACTGCAGCAGTTACCAGCAGTTATCTGTCTGAAACAGTGTTGTATCTATTCAGTTTTGCTTTGCATCTGTTCATTCAAAATTTGTACCTATTCGGTTCAAATATCTACCTGTTCGAGTCTGTTCTTTTGCCTATGAATATAGGCCATTTCTGCAGTCTTTTGCATCCAGAAAATAGACAGAAAATTTGATTTTCTTGCTGTCAAACTTTGCTCTGTTTGCATAAATTCTTCATATTAATTTTTAGGAAAATAAAGAGAATATAGAACATAAAGTTCTAGTTCGCCGGATAAATTTGTTTGGAGTGCTACTACAAATTTGTGAAGATCATTGTATCCTGGGAGATAGACGCCACATAACTGTAAGTACCGTAGCGGAGCGAATCTGTCTTAAGGACAGAGTGTTACACAATCGACTTGGTCTTTTATTTTTTATTCGGTTCGATAAAATAAATTCTATAAGTTATTTATTTTATTTTGTTTGATTTAGTTTCAATTTATTTTATTTGCACAGAAGATTGTTCCAACACAACTATCATCCATGGTCAAACCTCTAGTTTTCCTATGATGGTTGGTCAAGAGTCTCTCATGAAAGGGTAACCAGGAGAATCCCTTGTTTGTCATGTTGTTGTTGTTTGGATGTTTATATTTGGACATTGAGAAATTATGCTTTTATATATATTATTTTTACTTGTCTTAAAAAAAATGGGATATACAAATTAAAAAAAAGACAAAAAGGATCGGGAAAACTCGATTCCTGTTAAGAGGTGGGAGTGATGAGTTCTCCGCTAGGGATCAAGGTAGGAACGAGAAATTTTATGCCTTTAAAGATCTGGAACGAAAAGTATAATTTCCGACCCTATACTGGCCCATTGCCATTTCTAACTGCATATATATGTTGGTAGGATAAATTAAGTCCGTGTGAATCGTGCTCAATATTATTGAATGTGTGAATTCGAATTGCTTATATAAGAATATGCTACTTATCCCTACATAATTGAATAACTTATCCCTACATAATTGAGTAATTCTATCAAATAACAATCACTTAAAGGTCTTGATTCTTTATAGGTCTAATCGCAGAAGTTATCAATGGGTTTAGACTGAAAATGGTGAGAAAAAATCTTGGAAATGTGTTTAGACTGAAAATGGTGAGAGAAAATCTTGGAAATCTAAAAATGGTGCTTTCTCACTTTTGGTTTTGGGGGATCATTGGGAGCTGAACTGTAATTATCAAACTTAAGTCTCGTTTGAATATAAATTATTTTAATAATTTTTTAATTTTTTTTAAAAAAATATATTGTAAAAAATAAAAAAATAATAATGTAATAATTTATAATATATATATATATATATATATATATATTTGACTAAAATATATAATTGCTAAATGAGAGCTTACACTTCAGTAGACAATCTAATAACTAATTATAGTGGGAATCAAACAACAAATCCGCATATACCTCTGTGATAATTAGACATGATAGAAATTAATCACACAAATCGTATATAGAATATATAGAAATAAATAAAATTTTATAAAATTTTGTTTATGAGATTATACTTATTGATTATTGATTGATTGTTAATTTATACAGTATGCTATAGAGTAAGGTTTTAATTGGTTAAAGAATTGCAAATATGAGTAAGATATATTGAATATGAAATTTTATGGACTTTATGTTTTTGGTTATGAGATATTGTATTATTAATTATGATATATTGTGATATTTGTTATGGCATTATTTTGATTATGATTCAAAAGTTATTGGATTATACTTAATGTGATGTTTGGTTATAACTTAATTTTTTCTTTTAATTATGACTTCCACACTATTGAGTTAAGTCATTTGTGATAATCAAATTCACAAATGGTGAAACTTACATATAACAAGTTTGATCTAATTGTATTAAGTTTTCTTAATATTTTAATTCACACAACATTTTATTTTATTTTCATCAATGTTTCGTTATATATATATGATTTATTAATCTATATCTATTAAAAAAAAAACATATATATCCAAATCTTTGTTTTGATTTAATAAAACAAAACAAAAAGCTCGAATTTTATGATGAATTCATTGGGTACTCTAATGGATGATTTTTGATGAATGAGTTACAAGATGGAAAGGCCAGAGATTCAACAACAGACTCTCTAGAGTCACTTGATTGCTTACTTTTAGCAACCAACAACAACACTTATGCATTAGCCGGAGATGATCATGGGATCTCCATAATACTTCCACTATTCAGGCATTTTCACTCTTGTTCTTCTTCTTCCCCTCCAATTAACAAGCCTTACATGATAATGAGCTCATTGGGTACTCTAATGGGTGATTTTGGCATTTTGACGAATGGGTTACAAGA